GCGCAGGAACGCCATCAAAACATTTTTGGTTACCTGACCAACTTAAATGCACCCAAGCTTTAAAAACAGATTGTGCACCCCATCTAAATATCGCTATAGGCATTGGTTACACCCTTGTTACTCCGACATAAACAAGGAGAACAAGTCTTCAATTTCCCTATAGGTGTAACTTGCAATTCAAAATTAAAAGGGCTCATTCACACAGGCGTACAAAACATTGGGGGGAATTCATCAAAACTGGAGCAGCTTTGCATAGCCACCAATCAGCTTCTATCTCTCATTTTCAAATCTCAACTGAGAAAACTGAAGAGAGAAGCTGATTGGTTGCCATGCACAGCTGCTCCAGATTCTGTCTGCTCCAGTTTTGCTAAATTCCCCCGGTTGTGTACCAATGCGTGCACAGTTAGTTTTGTATACATCTGGACGGCTTAGTCAGACAGCTGGGCCTGGCAGTACAAGGTAATGCTGCGTTCAGCAATATCAAAAAAAGCTGCATCCGAGAATGTATTTTGGTCCATATGTTACATTGTACACATGTAAACCTTACATGTACATGGGCCCTGCTGTTCAGGTTATTATCAATAGCCTGTGTTGCTTGCACTGCTGATTAATCAGTGATGCTGACATGTCACCTCGGAATAATTCATCAATACAACGGCAGCACATGTGCAGAATGACCTGGGCCTTCAGTTATTCAGAATCAATCAAGGTCATTCTGAGCATACGCCGCTGCCACATGAATGACTTATTCAAGGCTGACATGCGAGGGCTAGTTCACACCATACCTGCATTAGAACTGCGTCCGCACAGCTGCAGTGCAATGCGTTTTTGACATGTTTATGCCATTTTCTGGTGCGTTTTTTTTTTTTTTTTTAGCTCAAACTAGGCTTTCAGGTGCAGTCCACTGATTTCAAGTGCATTTGCATGCTTTATTGATGCGTTCCATTGTGATCAGGTGCTGCTAAAATGTGGCAAGCAGGACTTTTTCTGACTGCATCGGAATGGACTGCACTGGTGTGAACAGAGCACCAGAAATCCCATTGAAAAGCATTGTGATGCGATTTTGATACAGCTGCCAAACTGAACAGACTGCATCACAACCGCATCTTGTATGAACTAGCCCTAAAACATCAACCATGTGTTATTAGTGGTGCAGGCGCTGCTGGCTGCACGGTGTTGATACTGACATGTCCAGCACTGAATATGTCTTTCCGGAGGCGGTGGTGCATGTGCAGAATGCAGCAAGGCTGGCCAATAGGGTCCGTTCACATTGCATGTAGGTAAACACAAACATTACCTGTGTACAACAGATGGAAGACTGTTCATACATTGCCTTGCTGCCAGGGAAATCCTGCATTAAAGTAATACACCCATGTGAATGAGCTCTATTAGTCCACGTTCACACCTAGGTGTTTTGTCGCCAGGTAAGCGCCACAAATTGCTCGAGACAAGGAACGCCATTAAAGTCTATGGCCCCTGTTCACACGTGAGTGTTTTGTCACAAGCAGCAACACGCCTGTCGCTGGAAAAAGTACATGGACTACTTTTTGGCAGATTACAGCACTTTTTGGTCCCATAGACTTCAATTGGAAATGTTGTGCAACAAAACACTCATGTGTGAACAGGGCCATAGAAATGAATGGGAATCCTGGTCTTGAGGGCTTTGTCGCACTTCGCTTTCAGTGACAAAACGCCTAGGTGTTAATGTATATATGTCGGCAGAAATAAGGCAATTATAACCCCATTATACAGCAATGTTTCACCGCCACTACTTTTATCAGGTTTCAGGTACCCGGCAAACTGCTGAACCGTGCAGGTTACTTGTGGAAACCAAAGCAAAGCTGCACTTTCATAGATTTAGAGGAAACCTGTTAGAATAGAAATACACAAGCTGCCATTGCTGATCTGAAAATGTTAGGTGCCTGGCTTTGTTGCTTCCCCACTGCAATTATTACTTTCAGAGTCATGGAGCTGATCAGAAATGTAGAGACAATCAGATTACCTTCTCTGTATACCTGTACCAGGACAGTAACTCACAATGATCAATCAACAAGGTCAGCATGAGAGCCAGGCAACCAGAATATCAGAAGCAAAAATGACCAATGGCAGCCTGAAGACCTAATCTGACAATGATTGGGCTGTTTAAGAGGAAAGGCAGAATCACAGAGCCAACCAATATTAGGTTGGCCAATACGCAACTTGAATTTTGGAAGATTCCCAGAATTGTAGCAATTGTTGGCCCTGTATACACCACCTGGCTCAACAAACTGGGAGAAAAAAAAAAAATGAAAAGGTGTTGGGCAGAAAAAAGTCAGCCAATCAGCCGTAGTTACTGTTAGGCTATACTGACAGCTGCCAGTGGTCAGAATAGGAAGACTTGTGCATCCATGCTGTTTAGAGTGGATGGGGAATAGAATGATTCTGGGCTGAAGGAGAGAGATCCTTATGTGTATGGTCAGCTTTAGTTTGGATGTTGCCCGGGAAGGATAGAATATCCGATGACTGCATCTCCTGAGTTGGCAGATTTAGCCAAATCGAGAAAAGATTAGCCCACACAAACTACCCAAGACTGTCATCAGCCAGCCTTATCCTAATGTGTATGGGCACTTTGGTGTGTGGATATTACCAGCACGTCATTTCCAGACATCACAGCATATCTGCACAAATTAGGAGAAATAAAACCTATAAAACTAAAGCAAAAGATAGTTTATATACGACGAGTGCTATGTATAGTAACTCATGGCAACCTCAGATCAACATCCTGCATTCTATATGACTTAGAGGAAAGAGCATTGCTTTCTGCTGATGCTTCTCCTAAATATAGGCCATCTGTGTGATGTCTCCATAAAAATGGGTGATATACAACCCCCCCCCATACATCATTACAGGGTTACATTATTATACATTACCATTTGATTCTACACATCCAATGAATCCTTCTAATGAAAGGACAGTACAGATCACATGTAACAATGGAAGGACATTATATGATATAACCAGGCCATGACATCGCGTGACTGGGTCTAAGAGTGCAGTAGAACCTACACAAGACAAACACGGGCCAGGGTGACCCAGTAACCCACATTATACCAACGCTGCATCCTTCCATCCTGAGGGGGACGGAGAAATAAGAAAAGGCAGCCTACGACACAAGCAGACCTCTCCAAAGCCTCAGGATGAGCCAAATACCTGCATTGCACAACTGCCCACACATCCAAAGTCTACAAACATTCCAAATTCCACAGCAAGCTCTGATTTATAATCTGCAAGAAAAGGATGGACGACCATAACGTAAACTTCCCATGATAAATAAATGGCATACCGCCATTCCCCAAGCGTCAAAGACAGCTGTCAGAACAGGACATTGCTGAAAGAATGATTAGGCAACATGAGCCATTGAGTAAGCTGCAGGTAATACGCTGACGAGTGAGAAGTAAATATAAATGATTATCAAATATCTTTATCTACCGCTGGAATGCATTAGAATCACCCCGCTGTCAACTAATAATAGATTTGTTTAAAGACATTCTAATGGGCTCATCCAATAAGGTGCAGAGGAGTCACCTATAGTAACCAATCACAATTCATCTTAAACATACCTCTGACTGGTAGCTATTGGTGTCTGCGCTAAGAACATCCCATCTCCTATCTCTAATGGTCACCACGGTACAATCTTTGCACAGTCAACTATAGATTTACCAAAACTGTGCAATATGAGGACCAACCTAACCCATCCAATCAACTTCTGTCCAATCAGGCGAACCCTTAAGGTGCCCATACACCTTTCGTATGCGATCGACTTTTCGGCCGATAATCGTATGTGTGCATTGTAGTGTCCGACCGACACTACTGTACAATCGTACGACTTTTGACGGTCAAGCATGTTTGAAAACTTTGCTAGATCGTACGATTGTCGCAAGGTTGCTGGCGTTTCCGTCCGTCAAAAGTCGTACGATCTACACTGCGCTTGCGAAAATAAGGCAAATCAATTACCGCAATTCGTCCAGGTGCCTTTCCTTAATTACGGCTAAACTAATCTTGCGATCATCGGGGCATGATGGGGCTGCCGTACGAAAATCGTACAACTATTCGATTATCGGACGAAAAGTTTTGTCCGATAATCGTAAGGTGTATGGGCACCTTTACACTACATGCAAAGGAGATTGTACAACAGGGGTGGAGAAATGAATGTGGAATTCCAGAGCCGGTAGGATTTTTGTTTTAGGAGCCAGCTCCATTGACAACAACTAGCAAAAACCTAAATAGTTAGGTGCCAGATGCAATTTTTTAAAGGAGTTAAAGGAATTTCCCTGCCCTGTTCTACAATCAAATTGTAACATGTGTGGTGACCTCTGGGCCCAAATCACACCCAAGCATGAGCACAGCCAGGCAATACAGAGGCTTTTCTGCACGACTTGTAGTACAGGAGCAGAATGATTCCTCCTGAACAAAGCTTATGGACTTTTTCCAGTCATAGGCATCAAGCACAAATGCACAACAAACGCTCAGGTGCGAGTGGGATCTAACCTCTCCATTACAATTAGACCTGCAAGGGTTAAGTGGTTGGAAGAAGAGATCCAAAGTTGTGATTCTTCCCACCCTGACATGGAACTCATTCTGTCATGTCTCCTTCTCCTTTAATTGCTGCTCTAGCCACTAGAAATGCTGGGAGTGCAGGCATGTGTTCTCCTGTATCCCATATCTACTGAGACCCATAGAGCTGCAGACACACCACATCCCCCCCCCCCCC